TGATCTTGAAGCTATTCATTCACAAGAATATATTCATAAAGATCTGCATAGTGGTAACATCTTACAAGACGATTTAGATAATGCATATATCACGGATTTAGGTCTTACATCTCCCGCCAAAAATGTTAATGAAATTGTTGGAATTTTACCTTATATTGCACCAGAAGTTTTATCAGGTCATCCATCTACACAAGCTGCAGATATCTATTCATTTGGTATTATTATGTGGGAAATCTTATCCGGAGAAGCAGCTTTCAATAGTTACGAATTTAATGAAGATTTAGCTATAAATATTTGTTTGGGATTGCGACCGAAATTCGCACCTGGGACTCCAGAATGTTACGGGGAATTAGCTAAACAATGTATGGACTCAGATCCAAAAAAAAAGGCCTACTGTTATATATATTAGCGCGTTAATTACTGCTTGGATCGACGAATTTGCGCATGAAAGAATAATTAAAAATCAATTTTTAGAAGCTGATAAGCAATCCTTAGAAGCTGATAAGATGGATAAAAAATTACCAAATATCGTGCAAAAACATCCAGATTATAATAAGTACACTTCAAAACCCATTAACATGCAAAATATCGTGAAAGGATTATCAAAAGCGACAATTGGCAGCATTCCGGTGGATAGCGTGGAAATTCCACATTGCAAATCAATTAATTAAAAAACATGATTCTTTACTATTGTGAGAATAAATCTTAAAATAAATTCATAAACTTATGCAATCCTTTAGCATATGAATTTTAAACCTCCTGCATGATCTTGTGATGTAGTTTAGATTGTTAAATTTAAGGACGATCAAGCCGATAGAATAAATTTAGCTGAAAAAATTTTGTATTGGTTTGATTGGCTATTTATTTTATATTAGCCAAGTATTGTTATACAAGTTTTTATAGTATATTATTTTACAATAGAAAATTTTAGTCTAAATAAGATGCTAAAATTTTGTCTAATCGTTTTTGAACACTTGGCTTTCATATAAGCGTTTGGGATCAAGTGGGGTTAAGTGTTCCACCAACTTTTATTAGAAGTGATTTTGACAACATCAATACATAGTACGATATTATAATTATGAATTTTTTAGCATTTAAAGTGTAATAACCAGTAAAAATAAAATTCCTTTCTGAATATATGTTTCAAGCTTCATATGAGAAAGGTAAGATGACCAAGAAATTAATTATTTCACGAAATGCTATAAAATTATTAATGTATTACAGTATTACATAGAGAACATAGCGTGCTTTCATTCTGATTGGCTAATTTTTGTAGATTATTTCGTGACTCTACAAAATCTGATTGGCTAATACAAATTCCTTTTTCTCTTTAAACGTACTGAGACTATGAAAAAAAAAACGAAACTCTTTATAAAAACACGATTTTTATTCAATTTATGGAGATCCATCCAGAATTCATAAAATTGGAAAACCTTCAAAAGAATAATAATGAAATCGTAGAGTGTATTTAGATAAAATAAGTGACGTATTTACGTTATAATTACGTAGATTAATAAAAAATACACTAGGGTATCAGGATCTGATGTAAGTCCGAAGCGAAAATAAACACGCCATTTAATGCTCTTGATATACTTTTGGCGTCTACAGCTGCTATCATAAATTCCGGGACACATGCCAAAAATTAGCCGAATGATTTTTCGGCCGATCCGGTTAAGTAATTATAGTATTCGGTATAACGATAATATAGACCAGTGTAAAAATCGCCACCCAAAAAGTTTCAAAAATTAGGTGATATTGTCAAATCATCATGATTAGGATCATTACAGCTATTTTCATAATTTCTGGAACACCTACTCGTTATCCGAAATCGTTTTGGTCATTCGGTAAATTATCTAACTCTCCGGAAATTACTTTGCTGCCTCTGGACTGAAGGTCTGAAGACAGCGATGTAGTTTCCGGAGAGTTAGATAATTTACCGAATGACCAAAACGATTTCGTGTAACGAGTAGGTGTTCAAGAAATTATGAAAATAGCTGTAATTGGTTTTCAAACCCGGCCGGTCAAATTTTAAAAGCTTATAAAAAAATTTATTTATATGTTTTAATAACCTGATGGGTTTTAACAAAAATTTTATAAAAAAAACCGGCCGGGTCTGATCAAAAGTTTCATGTTATGAAAACCAAAGATATTAAATTTGTGTAGTCTTATGTACTTCAGTTAACATATCTATTAAACTTTGTGTTCTAGTTAACATTTTAATCTCTGCATTATATGTTGATATACGTGACTGTGTATATTCTTTTTTATAATATTTATCATAATTTTCATTTAGATATTGTATTCCATTTAACCAAATTGCTAAAACTTTATCGCCAACTTGTTAATATGAACTAATTTATTAAAAGGATTCCACTCGATTACATCTTTGTAAGATGTAGCTTTAAATTGAAATTCTTTAATGCAATCATTTATATCTTTATTTTCACTTGTTTATCCTTGTGTTAAATCGGTTGCAATTGCACATTCTCCATATTCATAATTTATGTTAGAACTAAATTTATCAAAATTGATAGCTACCAACATATAATCATTTGTGAGTTAATCCACAAACATTTATATTCTTTAATTGACACTTAGATTGCACATGATTTTTAAACTAACAAAATATAAGTAGCATATGTAAGAAATTAACATTATATAAACACGATATTTATAATAAATAATAAGAGAGCAGTCAAAGGAAAATGTACTGTATTCAAGTTTATTGATTATTATTTATTGGATTTAACCCTTGAAAGTTTAGTATATTTAAAAACCTGAAGTTTGACTGGTGACGTATAATACGTGTTGCCGATTAGAGGTTCCAGTAAATAATAAATAATAAGCTTGAAAGCTCGATTTCTCTTAGTAGCATACGTAAGTAACATACTGTACGTACGTATAGTCTTACCTCTTTTAAAATATTTACTAAGTTTCGTGATTGGTCAGTGTTTAAAATTCAGAACAAAAATTACTTGCAACTGTGCAAATAAATTTTTTTTTTTACTTGCACAGTTGAAATTTTTTGTTTACACAACTATAATTTTTTGCAAATATATATATATATATATATCGTATAAACTTATGCAATCTTTTTTAAATTTTACTTGCACATTTTTTGCATGAATGTTTTACAAAATACTTGCACATTAAAAAAAGGTCTTGCACATTAAAAAAAGGTCTTGCACTTGTGCATCTTGTGCAAGCCAATTTTAAACACTGATTGGCATACGTGACAATGTACATTCTTCATCATCATTGGTATATTGTAGTCCGTCTAACCAAATTGCTGAAAATTTTATCGGCAACGCTTTGAATATTTTTTAATCTAGTAAAAGGAATCCATTCGATTACACTATCAAGATATAGTTTTAAGTTGAAATTCCTTAATGCAATCGTCGATATTCTTATTTCCATTTGTCCATCCTGGTGCTGTGTTCTGTGGGTCATATGTTTGACACTAAGCTCTACCTTTATTATGTCGCTTGCAATTTGCACATTTTCCATTCACGATATTTCTTTTAGAACTAAATTCATCGCATACCAAAATATACTCATTCGTTGCGGTGTTTGAGTTAATTCATAGACAAATTAATCCTCTAATTGGCTCAATTGACTCATTAATTGCTATATTAATCTATATTGGTTATTGTAGATGTATATACAGATTAAACATTCAAATTAAATAAACTACATATTTGAAATAATTAAATAATCTAATATTGTAAATGTAATTATGCTTGCTGGTATACGTGACTGTGTATATCTATATCCATGTTCAGCTTTATCGTCATATTTTACATATCGTATTCCATCTAACCAGGTGGCTAAAACTCTTTATCAATATTTTTTAATATATTAAAAGGAGTCCACTCAATTACATCTTCAAAAATTTCGAAAATCATGTGATATTGTCAATTCATCATGATTAGGATCATGATGATAAAATTTATTAAATATTAACATAATTGATTTAGTAAGCTTTTTTCTCGTATGAAATTTCCACTAATAATAAACGAAAAAAGAATAAAAACTAATCGAGAAAATGCAATTGCACCAGAAAACCTTGTAGATTATTTGAGGGCCGGGCCGGGCCTTGGGACCCAATGTAGGCCTCTACGCAGCAACAAAAATTGTTGAAGAAAACATAATGAACCCAAATAGTAACAAATGACTTGGTAGTATTAATAAAAATTTTGGCATTGATGATTATAATCATTTTAAAAGGCAATGGATTATTCCAAATACTTAGAAAAACCATATTCATCATACTTTCTGGTTGTAATAAATATTACATTTATTGAGTTATTCGAAATAAATAAAATGATTAATTTATCGCTTATCGTTATTATTTTGTTAGTCTGAATTCTTGCTAATTTACATTTATTTTACCTAGGCCATGAAAATTATAAGCCAATTATCGCCGATCATTTAATGCTGGTCATCTTATAGTCTCCATTACGACAAATTCTGGTTAGATCCTAAAATTTAAGATTTATTAATATTTTCGATATACTGATACATGATTATGTATTCGATATCTTAAATTTTGGAATGTGAACAGAATCGACTGTGATGCTTTACCACTATTGCTCTAACTATATTTAACTTTTCGCTTTAACCGGATACTTTTAATGGAATTGAGATCTGGGCTATATGAATACAGAAAAACTGATGTGGTAATCGCAATGCAAATTCGTTCATAAAAAAATCTCGTTTGATATGTTTTGATCAGTATCATGTCGGAAAATCCAGTGTTAGATGTCCGCACATTAAGTTATATGATTTAAACTACACCGCTAATACTTTTCGTGGGAACTTTAAATTTAATGTTATAAAAAAATATTTTTTACTGCTATCAGAAATTGTTTAACTGTATATCGAATTTTGTCAGTTTTATTATATTTACATATCGATATTAAATATTCCAAATAGCAAAAGCACAATTTACGCACAGCAAAAGTGATTAGCTATCGATCTATAATAGAAGATAAAATCGTTTATTGATTCTTGGAGTGATCTCCAAAATTCTCGCGTCCATTTTTATAGAACACGGGAAAATATGTCTTTCGAAATTTGCCTTCCTTCACACGTTCTGCTACTCGGTAAAAGAGTGAACCCTTTATAGAGAATATAAAAAAAATTATCATTTGGCGAATTCCTTTAATACAACACGTAAAATAATAGACATACATCATATTGAGATCGGACATCCTCTTTGGAAATAATGCCGTTTTGAGCACACAACAAAAATAAAATGCCCCATTCAAATACGGCACTAATCCACCCAAAAGGATCACATGCGTTCGCATTACCATAAATTAAGCGTCGAATATCACTAAAGCTCAGTCCACCTTTACCTTCTCGATCATATTTTGAAAATATCTCTTCGAATTTCTCGGGGACAAACCGACCCTTGTTTTTTCAGATAGAGAATAATGTATTTAATGACTATATTTATATTAATTATATATTATTTTTTCAATCATTATAGAATTGGTACCTCGCTATCAAAAGTTTCTGAATCTGAACCATGCTTTCCTTTATGAATCTTATCAACATAAATTTTAAAGAATGGGTTTCCGAGAAAAGGAACCCAGTTCGATTGTGTAACATAGGCAAATCCTAAATGAATGATAAACATGGCGAAAGCACTAAGAAAAATGTTAAAGCCTAATCGACGGAATCCTATTTATAAAAAAAACCAACAGGTGTAAATTGCATAAATAGATGACTAAATTTAGTTCTCAATAAAATATAGCTAAAGTTTGAGTGACCTCGTAACGTGTCGAATGGGCGAATAACACCATCGCCGTCTTCATCCCAAAAATCGACGTGTTGTTGCAAGACCTGTAATAAAAATAGAACTAGTCATATTTATGTTTCTTAGCTTTCAAAATAAGATTTACAAGATATCAAATTATTACCGTTCTGTTGTTTACATTTTTCCCCTCAGTTCCTTTTGGCTTTTCCCTAGAAGCAGCAATGACAGCTCGCGGAAGTCCTTCATTTGAAGGTTCAAGTCGAAGTTAAATGAGAAACGTCCAAAAACCAAGCTTTAAATTATATTTTTAAGATCTTACCGGCATTTCCTAAAGTACTGTCCAAGCCAGAAGGTACGCGACGTTCGACAGTCACTTGGTATTGAGGTATTGCGGTAATCTCTCCGTCACTAATAAGAGGTGCCTCCATTTTTTATTATTCTCAATCTTTTGTTCTTGTGTGAAATATAAATATATTTTTTTTAGATTTATATATATCGATATATGAATCTCAACGAAATTCTAACAGAACGAGACAACTAAAGTTTACAAGTTACCCATTTTATATGTGATGATGACTTTGGGTTATTAAGTGGAAAGGTAATTTTATGATGAGTTACGTTTTATTACATCATGCTAAAGTCATTATACTGTATGTTCGATATCCGTTTTCTTAATATAAATTTTCTAATGCTTATGTGAATTATGAAATCATGACGTTCCAGTTATCTTTAATTTTACAAAAAAATGTTCTAGTTTATATGTATTTGGTTTATATGATACATATTCTTATATTCTTTGAACTTCATTGTGATTAAACATCGCGTTTGTCAAGTTCGCAGATGAAATACATAAGATGAAAACATAAAAATTATGATACATTTTCATGTGAAGCCTGATCAAGAATTTAGGATATTTAAGAACGAAGTATATTAAAGAGGAATATGACATATTTTCTTCGGAGTTATAAATGTTTCTGAAGTAATATTAAAAAAAAGTGCATACGTAAATATAACGTAAAAGTTGTTAACGTCAAATTAGTTACATCATATCATTTCTGCTGAAGAGGTTAGTCCTCTTTTCATTTTTTACAAGGGGATCACCAAATTTCCGGGTTGGATCCAATGATCAGCTGGGCAGCTTTACTTAATGAGTAGGCCATGGCATTATTAATAAAATTAGATAATTCCGGCCCTACCGATCATGATTCTGAGGTATTCCGACCCAGAATTTTGGTGACCTCTCTGTATGAGTAACATCTATCTTCGATCTAAAAGTTAAACCCAAATATTATTCTTAATTTTGCGCATTTTGTAAATTATATGTATTTAGGGTATCTGTTTTACTTGAATTTGGTTCCAGTCACAGATTTAAGCCTAGCTGAACCAAAGTTAAATTAAGCTCAGTTTATTATTCAAGCATGGTTTTAAATCACGGTTTGAGTCAGAACAAAAGTAGCTCTAATCACAGCTTAAAATTATTGGTTATAACTATAGCTTGAAATTATTACTTTAGAGTTGTTAGGTTCTTGTTATAGTTTAAATTGTTTTTTACTATAATGAAATTATAACTTTAGAGTTGTTAGGTTCTTGTTATAGTTTAAATTGTTTTACTATAATGTGCAGTTATGTTTAAGGATTGAAACCGTTTAATCGCTTAAAAATTGCTTTATAACTCCGGACTGAATTATTTTAATACTAGCTAAATTAATTTATATATTTTTTAGTTTGTTTAAAACATTGTTGATGATTGCGTTGATGGATGAAGCTGAAATTTTACTCTATAATTGGTTAATTTCAACTTCAGTGTCGTCATGAATTTTTTATTTCTTAATCGACATGTCATTAGTTTGTGCTACAAAAGTCGAAGCCAGAAGATTCGAATTTATAATCATGATCATAACCATATTATTATCAATCATGATATCAATATCAGTAACGATGTTTTAAAACATGTAAAAAATCATTTAAAGCAGTATAAACTGATTTAAAACATTTTGTTTTAAATCATTTGCCATTCTTACTTGTCACAAAATATAATCGAAATCCCGTCGACAAAATTAAATTATTGTTCAATCATTTATGGGATTGGTCATGCAAGTTGACAAACGGACAAAATTCTAGTACCGTATAAGCACAAAATAACGTGCAGGGGTGTAATTTCGAATTTTGGCCTAAATTATGCTTAATTCGAACCATTATTCAAAATAATGCCTGGGCGTTTATATGGTATATGCAGGTTACTTATAAAAAGATTTTCATATACCTGGTTGTTTAAGTCTATTTGTTTTATATTTATACAATTAAGTATTTGTTTTTTAAAAAAATTTCTTGGTGATTTTGTTTTTATTAAAAATATAGTTAATAATATCGTATGTATAATGTTTTCAAATGCTTAGATTAGTTTAGATAGTTAATATTGTATATCACAAGAATTAGATTTGTAACAAATAAAAATTATTATAATTTTTTATAAAAATATATTTATAATTAAATTGTTATATTAAGGGTAATCTAGCAGTTACGTTCTTATATTTTATAGTTAAACTTAATGGTTTAAGTTTAGTTAAAAGCAAAATCTAAAAGATTTTAGTTTCTGTAATTTGAAAAAAAATTTATGATTAAATATAATACCTTGTGAAAAAGATCAAATGCAGTACATAACTAAAACAAAAATCTTCTAATTTTGCAGAATGTAAGTATTATGTATAATAGTAATATTATAGAAAATTCTATTATACAAAAAGTTGTATAAATAAGTTTTTTAAAAATAAAATAAAATTAATATTTTGCATTTAACTTGTAAAGTATTTAATTAAAAAAATAATACTAAGGTAATATGAGTTAAAATAATAAGAGAAGTAGTAAATGCAAAAAAGAGTTGTACCAAAAAATTTGGTTTATTAAGAATAAAAGCATTTTTAGTATTGTAAAATAACTAAAAATAAAAAGTAACCATATATATATATATAAGTTATAGTTTATTTTATATATTTAAAAGTACCAAATCAGTAGTTTGCTTATATTTAGATAAGAACTTATAATAAAGCAATTGAAATATGAGAATAATGATCTTAGTATAGTAGTTGGGTTATTATTTTTTAAGCAGTAAATTTAGAATTCAAATTCTATTAACAACAGAATTTTGAAAAATAATTCTAATCTGATAACTTGAATAAAATATTTAGAATTATAATCTTATAATTCTGATTATACTAAGACTAATTTAGAGAATATGTAGTATTATATAAATAAATCTAAAAGGTATAAACTGAATAAAAAATTAAATTCTCTTTGCTAATCCTCAATTCAAAACAAAGAAAAACAAAATACAAAATAACAAGAAAACAGACTAGCAAACATCCTTTAAACTACTAATAAAAGAGTTGTATTAAAGAAAACTACATATAGTATAGCAGAGTTTAAAAAACAAAAGAAGCTATACTAAGATATTAACAAGAAACAGCAATATTTTAGACAAGAAAAATGAAATTTTTGGGGAATTAACATTATCTTAAAAAAACAGAAAACAGAACACATGATAATGGTAGTAATAACAAACAACAACAAACAAATAAGACTCATTAACTAATTGGAAAACAGCAAGCATTATTATAGAATTAGTAATATAGTACTAACAACATACTAACAATATTACAAAAGCTTAATTCTAGGTACTAACTAGTTAAAAAAGAAAGACCCTGATCCAGTCTATTAGAATATAAACTAATAAATAAAAATTGTAATACAGATATTATATCCTATATTAAATAAATAAAAGATAAAAATTGAAGATATGTAGACTGTAAAATTTTGAACCAAATTCTTAAAACTCTTACACAAAACTTAAATAAAATAAAGCATATTGCTAAAGAATTAGCAATATATGATCCAAAACACATTATACCTTATGACATGTTAGTATATAATCAAATATTAGAACCTTAAGATTAGCAAAAACAAGTTAGCTTAAAGAAGAGATAATTGATGAGTAGAAAAAAAAGCTTAGATTAATAAGCTTCAATTTAGACTCTTTTAAATATAACACAAATACAAACAAAGAAGTAATATACTAAGAAAAAAGAAAAACAAATTATGAGTAAGAGCTAGTAATACTAGAAAAACAAATAAAAAGTCTTAGTATTATTATATCATACCATCAGACAAGCCAAACTACTAATGAATTCATAATGCTAAAAAGTAATATATTATAAAAAATAGAGGAAAACAGTGAGGACACAGATATGAAATTAGAAGAACAAGAAAAAGAACCAACTGATAAAGAAACCAGCATTTCATTTCCTATAAGTACAATTAAGTATAGCCAATAGTTTTTAGAAAACAGAATATGTAATAAAAACAGATTCTTTAAACAAATATGCAAATATATGCATTGCCAGATGAATCAAAAAAAAGAGTAAAGTATATCAAGTAGATTTTAGGAAATAACTACTATATTAAAACAATCAAAAAAATATTCAAAAATAAAAACAATTGGATAAAGGTGAAATTTGATTATAAACATAGTAAAAATACAACAATAGACAGAATTAGAAGAAAAGAAGATAAATAACTTAAACTAATACTAGAAGAAAATAAGAGTAAAAATTAAAAAACCATGCAACAAGAAAAACACAATACAAAAAAAAATAAGAAAAAAATATAAAACAAACAAGAAAAATAAAGAACTAATAAGAACAAAAGAAGTAAAGAAAAAGAAGAAAGAGAAAAAGACTCTATAAAGAAAAGCATCATAATAGAAAATGATGAAGAAAAAGAAGAAAAAGAGAAGTAGAAGAAAAAATAGTTAACAATATGGAATTTACCATTAGATATTAATGAAAAAGAGATAAGATATATGTACAAAAAATTTAAAAACTTAAATATTATATAAGTTAAGAGATTGTTATATAAAGCATTGGCAGTAATAGTAGCAAGCTTAGAAAAAAAAGAAAATTTTATGGATATTGCCACTTGGCAACAACAAATTAGCATGTATAACAATTAAGAATGAAGATTATGACCAGAGAGACAAGCAAAAACAGTACATAGCTAAATTGTTAAATATTCCAAGAAGAGCTTCAGAAGTATTTCTGTTACAATGCCTAAAAAACAGAAGTGCAAAAGCAATATACATCTTATGTAACAGAAATAAAAATCAAAAGAAGCTTGCAATAATCATCTTTACAAATGCTCTAGCAGCAAAAGAAGCCCAAACAATACCAATATGGTACAATAATCATTGAGTAAGTTAGGAAAATCCTAAAAGAAAGAAAGTACTAAAAAAAAATAAGTCAAGAGACAGTAAACAAGAAAGATTAAAAGTAGATAGCAAAAGACAAGAGATATTAAGAATTAGAAATATAATGCAAGAAGAGCCAAATAGAAGATATGGTAAAATAGGTTTGGATCCTTAGATACAAAATATAGA